TTTGAAAGCTCTGACTGTTTTCACAGACGCGTCTGGAGCATCCCACAAGTCCGTGGTGACTTGGCGGGATCCTCAAACTCGGCAGTGGGAGACAGATACTGCAAAGGTTGAGGGCTCACCTCAAATTGCCGAGTTGGCCGCGGTGGTCAGAGTCTTTGAAAGGTTCTCTCAACCATTCAATTTAGTGACCGGCTCTGCGTATGTTGCCGGTGTCGTTTCTAGAGCAGAGAGAGCAATTCACACATATCCCAGAGTTTGGCAAGTTCAGCTTTGTGCACGTCTCTGTGGACACCTTTTCTGGGGCCATCTACGCCTCCGCCCACACAGGGGAGAGGACTGCAGATGTCAAAAAACATCTGTTGCATGCCTTCTCTGTGTTGGGCATTTCCAAGGTAATGAAAACGGACAACGGGCCAGGATATGCCTCCAGGGAATTCCGGAGCTTCCTGCAGGAGTGGGGGGTAAGCCACAAAACCGGCATCCCTTACTCTCCCACAGGACAGGCAGTGGTGGAGCGGGCCCACCGGAGCCTCAAAAGGACTTTACAACATCAAAAAGGGGCAATGAAGGTGGAGTCCCCTCAGATCCGGTTGGCCAGGGGACTTCAAAATTCACCATAAATTTTTTTAATTGTAGTTTTGAGTGGCTGAACCCGCCCATCACAAGGCACTTTAACACCTACAAAGACGTGCACCTGAAGGCGAAACCCCCCGTGTTAGTGAAGTGTGGGAACTCAGCACATCACTCTGGATGTCCAGAGCTACCGAGACAACCCTTGGGGGGCTCGGAGGTCCTGGAATGTCGCCAAAAGTACCTGGTGGCTTGACTTTGATCCTTCTAAAGAAATGACACCTGAATGTGAGGAAATGAGAGAATTTCAGGCCTGAATGGTGAGCGGATGATGCTCACTTGATAAAATTTGAATTATAATGCACTGTACAGGGGGTTTTATATGTTGTACAGGGGGGTCTAGAATTCTGTGCATGGATCAGGAGTCCCAAGATGGAGGAATTTGGGCGTGCCCTGTCCTTCTTCTTTCCTCTCCTTGGCATCCATGTTCAGGATGATGTTGGCATGTGTGGATTGGTTCACAGAGAAAGTGCACTTGCCAACAAGGGTGAAAAGTATTGGAAATTAAAGATAAATATTTTATACATAGTTTTTACTATAAAAGAGACAACCGCCCCGTGGGCGGGGGAGAGTGCCCTTGGCTGTCTTGCTGATCAGACCTCGGCTGGACAGACAGAAAAACTTTGTAGATAAGAAACAATAAATGCAACTGAAGTCCAAAAGCAAGAGTCCAGACTCCTTCTTTGACAAGGGCGAAAAGTATTGGAAATTAAAGATAAATATCTTATATGTAGTTTTTACTATAAAAGAGACAACCGCCCCGTGGGCGGGAGAGAGTGCCCTTGGCTGTCTTGCTGATCAGACCTCGGCTGGACAGACAGAAAATCTTTGTAGATAAGAAACAATAAACGCAACTGAAGACCAAAAGCAAGAGTCCAGACTCGTTCTTCGAGAGCGCGGCCTGCCCAGAACCACCTTTTCCCGTGCTGGGGCAGAGACAACTCACAGCCGACCCCGTTTGATCCCAGTCCCTCCCAGTCCCTCCCAGTCCCTCCCAGTTTGATCCCAGTCGCTCCCTGGAAGGTGGAAGGCCCCTTTGACCTGATAACGTGGGGTCGTGGATACGCTTGCGTGTCCAACCCCACAGGGTTGAAGTGGGTGCCTTCCAAATTGGTGAAGTCCTTCCTTCCAGGGAGAGCCCGCACCATCAGCGCCGCTGCACGGGTGGGGTCGATGATTTTCCCCCTCCATTATTCATTCCCTGCCCTGAAATCCTTGTTCCCACAGTCTGATCACGAGGATCGCCCCGCACCCCGCATCGTGCGGCGAGAGCTCTTGGCAGTTCTCAATCAGGCCACCGGTGAGCCCGCAGAATTCAAACTGCTCAGCTCCGCACGCGCTTCCCTCTGTCTCCACTTTTCCCACACCCTGGGTCGAGCCCATTTCAAGAAATCCATCTCAAAGATGAAAAATACCAAGCTTCCAACTGGCGCAACCACACCATCGCCATATACGCGCCATCCACCTTTTATGGGCGGCCCAGACTCCTTCCCAAAGGCGTTTTTAAGTTGTGCGGAGATCGAGCGCGGGCCGGAATTCCCTCTCGCCTGTCCGGAGGGCCCCGCACTTCTGGGCGGTTGGAGCCGCTACACCCGAATTCCAGATTGGAAAACTAAAAATGTCACACGTGATCCGGCCGGAGTTGAGAGAAGCACCCACAAAACTGACCCCGGGTGTGACGCCGAAATTGTGCAGGGGTCCCTATAGGGTAAATCAATGGCTCACTATGTGGCAGGGGGTCCCTATAGGGTAAATCAATGGCTCACTATGTGGCAGGGGGTCCCTATAGGGTAAATCAATGGCTCACTATGTGGCAGGGGGTCCCTATAGGGTAAATCAATGACTCACTATGTGGCAGGGGTGGGATGGACTGGGAGGGACTGGGAGGGGTCACTGGGACAAACTGGGACGAACTGGGACCAACTGGGATCTCACTTTATTGAAGGCCGGAAGGGGCGGGGCCGAACCCGGAAGCGCTGGTGCTGACACCAGTGGGCGTGGCCACAGCGAGGGGGAGTGGCCAAGCCGTGGCGCCGGCAGCCAATCAGGTGAAGGTGACGTCAACGCCGGGGAGGAGCTCGGCCAGGAGGGCGGGGCCAGAGGGGGCGGAGCCCAGCGGGGTCTCAGCCAATCCCAGGTGGGTGAGGCGGGGCCAGGCGGCCAATGGGGCGAGAGCGGGGGCGTGGCCAATGGCTGGGGGCGGGGCCGGTCAGTATGGACCAGTATGGACCAGTACAGACCAGTACGGACCAGTATGGACCAGTATGGACCAGTACGGACCAGTATGGACCAGTACGGACCAGTATGGACCAGTACGGACCAGTACGGACCAGTATGGAGGCTCAGGGCCACCCAGTGCCCTCCCAGTATAAACCAGTAACCCCAAATCCCCTCCCAGTTCAACCCAGTTCCCTCCCAGTTCAAACCCGTGACCTCCCAGTATAAACCAGTATGGCCCAGTTCATCCCAGTAACTCCCAGCAAGGCCCAGTCCCTTCCCAGTCCCCTCCCAGTTCATCCCAGTAACCCCCCGGTCCAAACCAGTTCCCTCCCAGTATAAACCAGTACGGCCCAGCCCCCGCCCAGTCCATCCCAGTCCCTCCCATTCCCTCCCAGTACATCCCAGTTTATCCCATTTCCCTCCCAGTAACCTCCCAGTTCATCCCAGTAGCCCTCCCAGCCCAAACCAGCCCAAACCAGTATGAACCAGTATAAACCAGTATCAACGTACGGTTCCGGTCCAGCCGCAGCAGCCACAGGCGGGGGAGGGGCGGGGCCACGCCCACCTCGGTCACGTGATTGTCGGAGAGGTCCAGTTCCTGCAAACTGGGATTACTGGGAGGAACTGGGAGGGACTGGGAGTGGGGCCGATCTCGGGGCTCCGTGTCCCGGCACTCCACCCCTTCTCCGGTTCCGGTTTCCTCGATCCCAACCCCTGTGGCCCAGACCTCTCCCATCTCAGGGCGGTGCTCAGGTGTTCAACCTCCATTGCTGGCTCAGTCAAAATCCGCGCAGGCTCGGGTTCCACAAACACAACTGCTGCAGCCAATCGATACGGCTGAGGAGCCGATCGAGCTCGTGACGTCATCGCACCTGTCCAGGCAACCCAGTGGGGGGATGACCGAAATGCAGGGCAGAGCCACAACGTTATCTCGTGGCAGGACTGCAACCATGCAGCAGTTTTTTCCAACGACATATAAAGGGAAGGCAACGTCAAAGAAAACAGTACCACAGTTAGAACTTAAAGATACATTATACGAGGATCAAGGGCAAGAAGAAGACGTGATACGAATCGCAGCATGAGAAGGAATCCCGGCATGGATGTTTTCAGCAGCAGAAGCGAGAAAAGGATATGTGCCATCATTTGATGCGATGAAAAGGATG